TGAGCATTGTGCAATCGATCGGCCATGTCCTTCGCTTCGACAACACACACATTGCGGTCCAATGCAGGGCCACACTCCAATTCTTGTGTCGCTGATGGGCCAATGTCTCGTTCATGAGGCGACGGGCCTCGAACGCCACCTCATCGCTTGCAAAGCACATGGAGTCCTTTTATACTCTTTTCAAAGTTTAAAAACATCGACTCTACGAAGTTGGAACACGCAATGCAAGATTTTGTATTCTTCACCGAAGACTCTCCGAACATCCTATCTAGCTACTTCAAATCTGATTTGCTTGACCTCTTAGAGAAAAAAGTATGTAAAGTTCCTTAAGTCCGAAACGCGTAAGGTAGATTTTGTGCTTATCCTGCTTAACAAGTACACCAAGTGAGTTGCATGACGTCATGACTTTCGTAACTGAACTTGTGGCACTTGCAATCAGACTTGCACACATTGAGCAACAAGACGTGTAGATTATAAGCTGGATTATAAGAATGCCACCTTCCGAGCGGGAGAACTCTGAGCAGCCAGGCAGGCCTTGCTCGTGGAGTCATTTGCCCGCCCCTACACTCCGCTCCCCCCTTGTCCCCCGCCCCGCTGGATTCCCCGAGCTATTTGTCTTGTGATTTGTTTTTTTGTATTTGTCGTCCGGGGCGGGCATCGGCTCGGAAGAACGGACCCAAGAGAGAAAGGCAGACAAAGAAACAATTTAATGAAAGACCGAATGAGAAAAGAAAGACGGAAAAAAAAAAAAAACGCAATAAAGTTGAGAGTTTGCGGCGAGTTTGCGGCGAGACGCCGAAGCCATCTCGGGCCTAATGGCAGCGGCGATGCTGTGTCGGCAGCGTTGTCGTCGAGCACGAGGCGGAAAGTCTCGGAAGTGAGTCTGGCGCCGTTCCCCTGCGACACGCGAGTGGTGCCAGCAGCTCGTCCTTGAGCAACTCATCGGAGATTGGCTGGTGCGGTTGTTGAGGGCCCTCTTTCCTTCGTTCAGTCTTCGTGGTGTCCGACGCCTGGTCGTCGGCGACTTGCTCCGCAGAGTTGTCGCCCGAACCCTGGTTCGGGCGTGCTCACCGAGGACAAAGACCGCAAAAGCGACGAAGCCCGATGGCACAGCATACTGCTGCGAAGCAACTCCGGTTTCACCATGTGGGTGGGCGCAAAAATTCCTGAGGGCAGTACGAAAGCGGGGCCGCTGGAACGCCGGTTTCTCCGCGACCTGGTGTGGGTACGATCATACCACGTGCCGCGTGCCTGCCATGTGCGAGGCGCGGGATGCAAAGATGGTGGGGCTGGGGCGTGTTGTTTGCCGGGGCGCGACAGTCAGCGAGCACAGCACTTGGCCATGCCTGGCCTCAAACGTCGCGTGCCAACAGCGACGAAGGACCCACTTTGGACCGCCTCCTCAACACGGCTGCCAGCCGCTTGCCGCCAGGCACCAGGGCATAACAGTTAACGGTTAACGCGTAACGTACGTCGGAGCAGTGCAGGCCCTTCCTTGTATAGGATTCTCGGGAGCAAGGAAACAGTAGTAACCAAAGGGGTCCCCCCAACCCACGATGATGCAGTGCTCGCCTCTCTCGAAAAAACTTGGCCAATGTGCTCAGCTACATCTTGTATGGTGGTGGTGTCCAGCGACGTCCTAACTCTGCAGGCATCGTTGTGATGCACACTTCTTGTGAAGAAGGGCGAGCAAGGTGTCATCCCTGCAGGCCGGGGGTGAGCCGGTCCCCTTGCTCGTCGCCTTCATGGAGGCAGCACTGCCCGCGCCCCACAACCTTTCAGTGGAAGGTTGCCCTGTAAAACATTCGGACAAATCGCAGCTAGGGTGCCACCTGGTGGCGGATCTCAACCTTTCGTGGGTGTCTGGCGTAAAGGTCCTGACCACGAAGGGACATACTAGGTCGCTGTTGTTTGGGCCTTCACAACACAACTCGACTTCCAGCCTTTAAAAGCAGCTAACTTCAGCTAACCCCATATGCTCCGATGCCCAGAAAGGCTCCGAAAACGTTTTGAAAGCTGACTTCGAAACGAGCCACTCGGCAAAACCCACAAGGGGCTCTCACCGACGGAAGCTCCCTTGCAGGCACCCCTTGCCATCGGCGCAATGGCTTAGGGTGGAGCAAGTAGGTCTTCGGCAACGGACTAGTGTGGAGCCTTGCGGGTGTTTGGCAACGTTTGTGCTGAAGGCTTGGCAAACAGCTGGCAAATTTGGGACGCATGTAGCCATCGATGTTCATAAGATTTTGCTGTAAAAAAAACATTCCACGTCCGACAACAAAGGCGTTCCGATGAGTAGGCCACACTGTCTCCGACCGCAGCGGTGCAAAAGAAATGCTGTAGACAGACAGCACAGCAGGGCAGGGCAGGGAAAGCCAGGACGGCAGCAGAAGGGGCCGGTGAAACAAAACTCGCAGATCCCCAAACTAAAGACCCACCAGCGACGACCAGGCGCGCCTCCGGCGAATCCTCCACAAATAAGAGGTGGCCAGCGAAGACTGCGCACCACGTATCACCACGTCACAGCGGGAGAGGCGGTCCACGAGCATCCTGTGTAAACAAAAGGACACGGGAACCCGACTTTTTTGCAGCCACTGCAGTAGATAATAGGATGTAGCGTGATGCGGGGAGCTCCCTTTCGAGGCGTGCCTCGTCGGGACAGCAATCACTTCTCTTTGTTCTTAACACAAGAACCCCATAGTGTTAGCACACTGTTTGGGTAATGATCGGCCCCTTGCTGTTCAATGCTGGAGTCGACCTTGTGATGTGCCAACGAATTTTCATTGATGTAAACAACGATTTGACAACTATCCGACATTCAAAGGACTACATCATTGCTAGATTTTCTACGTGAAAATGTTGCATGACGTTGAAAATTACAGAGAAGGAAGTTGAGCGGTGGAAAAGGGAACTGGCACACAGCTCACTGGAGTTCAAAGCTGACAAAGCTCAATTTCTGAGCAAAACATGTACAACAGAAGCGCAGACATTGGTACTGCTAACACCCGATCTTCGCGGATGCCCGGGTATAGAGAACGCTTCAAAGGCGATAGATATCATTGATTTCGACCACAATGAGCATTTCAGTGATGCATCATGTTGTGTCTGATGCTTGCGCTTCGTGGCGCCGGCGGCGAGCCGCTCGTAAACTCCGCTGCGGCAGCATCGGCCGAAGTCAGGAGCTCCCGATGCGGGCAAAACGAGGAATCGGCACGCGTCAAATCGCATTTCGTTGAAAGCCAAGGCTTGGATAGGACGGCGGTAGCCAGGTGCCGGTACGCTCTGAAATTGGCTCTGTTCCTATTCGCACGGACTGCACCACTCGAACAGTGAGCCCGACTGACATCAAACCCATGCTACTTCCCATATGAGAGCTTAGTATACTATTTTGGATTATGTTCCATGAAAGTATTTTAAATTATAGTGTGCCATAATACTGTAGTATCATGTAAAGGTTCTCACTCTTGGCCAAAACACCCTCGTGGGAATCCGACACCACTCATGACGCATCCTTTGCCGGAACTCCTTACAGGCAAACAGCCAGGCAATCGTCCACTCCTGCGAGTCTTTCTACACGATAAGACACATCGGATCGGATATATGTTTTGTAAACATGTATAGTATGTATATACGTATGTCGTCAGCACCCTGATGCCGCACCTAAGTCCACGGCATCATGGCCTTGCCTTACAATGCTTCAGCTTCTTGAAGGAACACGAGAGGTCGTGCTCTCGTTTTCGCAGGCCAATGCGTTTGCAATGCGGGTTCTTTGTACAGGTCAACTGCGTGGCCGGAGCGGCAGGTCCATGTGCGGTCTTGTCTGGCTGGCTTTGTGCTGCATGTCCCTGTCTCCGAGTGACATTCCCCTGTAGGGTGTGTCAGCCTGGTGATACGACAACATGCGCTGCTGAGATCATTTTCATGGTGAAACAGCGACTGGGACGACACCCAGCCTTCATGCACTGAAAAGGTGGAATACTCGTGCTTCCGGATTGCAGTTGCATTGACTTTATATCTAAGGTTTTAATGGTCTGGTTGGTGGAGCAAGATGGGGTTGGAAGGAACGGATCCCATCACGAGGCAGCTCGGTACGGAGCCACGGCTAGCCTGGGTCCGAAGGGCGCGCAAGAAGTGAACGCATGCTGACGTCTTCAAACAAGGTGCTCTGAACTCTTACAGTAAGGACACGGCAGGCGTTGTTTCCAGTGCTGGAATTCGTCGTCATCCAACTCTGCGCCATCCTCGAAAGGGAGGAATCACCGAGTCACCGCCAAATTCCCAAACCTACTGTTGCCACCAGTATTGTATTCGATTCTGTCCTATCCGATTCTGTTCTATGATATGTATGGTATGACATGATATGACATGACAGTAGATGATATGATATCATATATGAGACAACATTGCGTTAAATTATAGCTTACTGGTTTATATTATATTGTGTTATACTATGTGATATTATCTTGGGCTATCTCATTTTACCTTATAATAGCTAATTTAACATGATATTTTGTGATATACTGTACTGTAATAACTGTAATATACTGTACAAAATATTGGACACATCTCTATGACCATGACCTTATATCATCACGTATTATCTTACATCATATTGTAATACATCATACCTTCCTATATCATGTGATGTTATGCTGTACTACATTATGTCGCATTACGTCATATCATAATATAATGAAACATGTCAGAATCTGTAGATCATACTATAAATTAATGTAGAACTTTAGACCACATTAAACCCTCTTATATTGTACTATAATGTAGAAGTATATAACCTGTTTCTTATTATACTATGTCATCGTGTACTCTAGTCTAGTCTAGTCTAGTCTAGTCTAGTCTAGTCTAGTCTAAGTCTAAGTCTAAGTCTAGTATAGTATAGCACACTGTTATATAGTATATGACATCTTTTTGTACGAAATTATGGTATACTATATTCTACTGTATTGTACTGTATTCTGAAGGCACATTACGGACTATCATGGGTCCTGCCGCACAATGAGCTGTCCGCTTTCATCTTCCTCCTCCTCGCAGACAGTATCAACATCCATCACAACAGATAGATGAAGACAAATGTCTCAGCAATAGAAACTCCTGTATGTACAGCCCTGTCACAGGCCAGCTACACTCTCTGCACACTCCGTCCTCCATGTCAACCTCGGGCACAGGTTGCGTGTGCCTCGCCTTCTTCGCCAGGCGCCGTGCCAGGACCTTCAAATAATGGTGCTCGCAGCCACAAGGGCTTCTGCACAGTGCATCATGCAGACGCAATCTTCCTTACCGGGGGTGCTGCAGCGCGGCGGCCACGGCGTGCAGCAATGTGCGGAAGTGGCGGCGGAGGAGCGGGCAACCACCTTTCGCTGGCACAGGTTAGAACTGTGGCTGCAGCTGAGAAACGGAGCTCTTGACGAAAACTCTATCGGAACTGGCCTGATGAGGTGCTTCCGAGCCTTGTCTACCTGGAAGGAGCTGGACGGTGCACATGGCTTCAGGGTTTCTTCATGGGTCAGCCAAGGTGCAAGCTGTGCCACATCACATGCCCAGCTAAGCCCCGGAGGCCTCTTGCATGACGGGCGAGCGCTTCGCACCGTACCGTGGCTCGACGGCATCTAGCCGTGCCAAAGCCTCAGGGTTGTCGATGTCATCCCCAATTCTCATACCATCTCATGCCACTACAGCGCCGGCTCATCCTTCTAATCCGACCCCTGCTCCTACCGGCACTCCTCTTCTGAAATGTTGATGTACAACCTATATATACACTACTGCTGCCGCTGCACCTGCTGGGGCTGTTCCTAGCCCTGGCTCTATGGCTGGTTGCAGTGCCACTGACAATCGTCTTCGTCGTCGTAGCCATAAACCCTAAACCCGCAAGCACCAGCATCAAGAGCAGCGGCAGTGACAGCAGCAGCAGCATCAGCAGCAGCAGCTGCAGCAGCAGCAGTCGTCTCGTCGCAGTCGCAGTCACAGCGGCATTCAAGGCAACAGTCGCAGTAGTAGTCGCAGTCGCAGTGGCAGTGGTGGCAGCGGCAGTAGCAATGGCCGTCGCAGAAGCAGTAGCCGCATGGTAAAAACGCCTAGACGAAGAAGCAGAAATGATACGTTACTGATACGTTGCAGCAGCAGCGCCACCAAAAATACTAAGTAAATTGACTGTGGCTTTCTAGGACCCCGGCGAAGATGAAAGGCTCGAAGACCGACTCCCTGGCGGGCTGCAGAGCTCCTTTGTACCTCCCACGGGACAACAGAAGCTCTCCGCCTCATCACGTGATGCTACTCTGCTTACGGATCTGCTTGTCCACTACGACCTACTGTACACGATTGGATTTGTGCCCCTCATCGCTCACAACTAAAATTCGGACTGACAGTGATCCATGTTTTGCCAAGTCAGGCTGTGCATTCAGGTTTTGGTTGGAACTAGTCCTCTAGCACTTCGTGGAAACTTGCTTATCAAAGTCAAAGCAAACGTATGACCTGTTCACGGAGATATTGGTGAAACCATGCCACGCAGGGTGACGGTAGACGGGTCTTGGTTTCGGCATGCCTCACTGGCTCTCTGTGAACCCCAGGCTCTTACCGCAGCCGCATGAACCACCAAAGTGCTGTTGGCAGTGTACACCGTTCCATCTTGCTTGAAGCTTGCCATTGTCGCTGCTCGTCTGAACGATCTGCGGTGCGACACCACCCTGCGCCTGAGCAGCAACGAAAGCCGCCCGAAAAATCGGATCGGGGCCGGCGGCCGCTGCTGTCCGCATAGTTAACATCCGCCGCGTGGCTTAAAAGTGAGAAAACCATTTCCAAGTGAGCCTCGGAAGTGCAATGCACAGAGGTGTCGTCGAAGTGGAGCTCACTGGAGATTGCACGCTGTGTCCAGCCGTTTCGACAATTTCTCCACCGACAGCTTGAAAGAGTGCGCTCTCGTTTCTGGAATTCTTCAGCGGTGTATCACGCAGAGATCGACTGACTTGCACTTACTGGACAGACGACCTGCCGCTGCATGGCTCTAGCGGCCATGATTGGCAATTTCAGGAAGGCTTAGGTCTTCTTCCAATTTCCCTGAAGGAGAGCCCCTTCTGAGACCCGCCTCAGCCTCCGCTGCTTGTCCATCAGCCGGGCCTGATCAGACCTGGGCCCGAGACCTGGGAGCTTTTCGGAGGCGCTCTCGGAACTCCCAAGGCAAAGTGGGGGGGGAGCCTTGGGGCCCAAGGGGCCCTGGGACCTCAGGGCCCCGACCTTGCATCAGGATCCGATCGAGACTGCGCTGGCGATGCCGCGCCATCTCGACACGAGCCTGGCGTAGCGCATAACTTCTGATGGTACGTCTTCCCTCTGTCCGTGGCACCAGAGGAGGAAGCAAAGCGACTGAAGCTCTGGAAAATCTCTTCAGGCCTTTGCCGTCCGAACGGCCGTTTTGGCCCACCACCGAGTCTCGGACCTCGGGTGGTTCTTGTCTTACCGATCCTGCCTTCTGAAACCTCCGAGGCTCCCACATCTGACTTCTGGCAGCGACCAGGGCCTGAAAACCCAAGTAGCAAGGAACGGAGGCAACGCGGAAACAGCCACAACTGCCTCGATTTCATCTTGGCACTGGCCGGTCAGCTGCCGTCCAACTGGATCCTTGGTTTCCACAGCACAACTGAACACAGCAAGAAGCACAAGGCGTTGTGAAAGCACTGCGTCACACGACTCTGAAGCCTTCTGCCCTAAGCATCCAGTCCCAGCTCGGAACTTCTTCCGAGGTAGCCGCCAGCATGAGCCGCACTGCGAAGCCCCTCGCATGGCGCTGGATGCAGGCAGCGGCCTTGTGGCAACCTCACAGAGGACCGTCCTCTGATTCCGGCTCGCTCTGGATCCCCGGTGATCCGAGGCATGGACGCTTGATCCACTTCCGGTGCACTGAGCTGTGCCATGCCTGGGTGCCCCCCGCACAGCACATGGCCCGAAAGGGTCCTTCTTTGAAACACAGCTCAGCTTGGAGCTCTCTGAATTCGGAGTACGGAGTTGAGGAGCTTGGAAGCTCGGAGATTCCATTTCCACGCCTGTGGCCGCACGGAAACACCCCTGGTATGGTGCACGTGCTGCTCAGATCCAGCCTTGTAGTTCCGGAGAATCTTCCATGCAGCGTCGTCCTTGCGCATTATGCCCAAGGCCTCGGGCGTTTCAGACGGGCTTCATTCTGCGAGAAACTGCGGTCTCTGTGGCTTCGCTGCGCATGTGTGGATGCTTTGTGCTCAACGGCGCGAAGTCCACGCCAATGCCGTTGAATTCGCATCTGAAAGAAGGAACCATGCAATCCAGGACGGAGTCGATGCACTAGCCACTATTACAGGTCTCAGTGACACGCCGCAGGTGCAATAGCATTCTGCTTCTGCCCCCGCAACTTGATGTAACGGTATCGCCTGAAGCCGTGAACGAATCGAAAGACTTCATGCCATGCAAAACGGGCAAGTGTCCTCTCACGCAAGGCCCGGGCTGCTGGATGGAAACAGCAGCTCGGTGATACAGTAAACCTCAGTATGGCAACCGACTGTGTCCACTGCATGCATGTGTATTGCACGAGCTGGGCCAGGCACGAAGATGCAGCCCTCTGAGGACCATGTGCAGTAGCACGACTGCAAGCCTTCATTCCGAGCAAAAGGGCCCACTCTCCCAAAGAGGTCTTTGAGGCCCCCGACACGAAGGAGCAATGATCGTGCATCGCTCGGTCGGCCATCTCAAACAATTTGTCCGTGACCTTGGCCCCAGCCATGCAGCTTGATCTGAAGCGGCCAAGGCAGCGTGCCCTCGTTATCTTACGGCATCGCCACCAGCTCAGCTCCGAGCGGAGACGAAGCGGTTTGCACGCATACCTGGGAATGCAACATGAAGCTCGCAGATCAGTGCATGCGCATGATGCTAAAGCTTCACAGGGCGTTGCTCTGTGGAGGTGCTTTACAACGGGCCTGCTGAGGAGGGAAGTCTCATGAAGTCTCTTAGAAGGCTGAGCAGGGAGAAACCGCCGACAGAACGGAAAGATCCCAAAGCCCGAAAGCCCTATCATATCCCCATTCCAACTCCGGAAAAAAAAAGAAAAAAAAACCGACGTGGGTCCCAAGGCTCCCTCTCTTTTCTGGCTTCCGGCCTGCTCCAGCTTTCGGGGAGGCCGGATCCGAGGAGCCTGGCCGTGGGCTTCGCTTCTAGTCGCTGCTGGAGACTATGCAGTACATAGTAAGCGTATGTATATATATATATAGACATAGAGAGAGAGAGAGAGGGAGAGTATAGACACAGAGCATACAGAGTAGATAACCAGAGTATATAATATGGAATCTAGTGTATGGTACATAGTACTTAAAGCTTAGAGGGTAGCGAGTATAGTACATGGTAGACAGCATGTAATATGCAACAGGGAGCAGATCTCCCAGAAAGGCCACAAGAAGCCGCCTTTGGCCAGCACACTCTGCATGGCTTCATCCTCCAGGCCGCACAGCTGACTCGAAGTTTTGGCCCTCCTTACGCGCCCCCCCCGGGTCCCAGCCGCGGCCTGACCCCGCATGAAGTATCCAACCTGTGGGGAGGTCTCAGCTTCATCGGCTTTTGCTCTTGAGGCAACCTCTAGGAAAGAAAGGTGCAGCAGCTTCTAGACTCTTGCACGGAGAGCTATCTGGCAACCTCATGGGAAATTTTGCGGCAGAACAAAGACTTGGAGCAACGAATGCATCACTACCACCCGGCAGTCAGTCGCACAGCCCTGCCTGCTGCAGAACCCGCATCGTGGCGGCTCGAGTGAAGTGGGACAACGCTCCACCTTCTGGCCTCACCAGCAATGTAGCGTTTGTAATTTGCAAGTCAGGTAGACCAAAGTACCGGTGGCATTGGTGCCACAAGCAACTGGGATGCGAACAACGGTGTGGAAAAGGGCGCGGTTGGCGACCTAGCAACACAAAATCTCGTCACTGCTACTGGTTCAGGACACAGCGTTGGACATCAGAGGCCAGACAGACGATTAAAACACTACGTCGTCGAACAAGCCGGCTGCAGCCGGCTGTCGATTCTCGAGCACAACGCAAATCGCATCCCAGGCAATCGCCCGTGGAAGTTGACGACTCGACCAACCTCTTCACATAAAACCCAAGATCCGGACGCCCCTGGTGTGGTGGTGGCCACTGACACAGAGTCACCATCTGCACAGGGGGATGTTTGCGCTTCTTCGGCAAGTCTACATCTTCCCGGCTGAACAAAGCAACCCGTCTTTGCCTACAGACCGATCCATCGCAGCTTTAAGTATTGAGGCCTCTTGAACAAGAAAGTGCATAAGCAAAACAGTAAAAACCGGAATCAGGATCATCGGCTCCGAAACCCGAATGACATCTAATGACCCTAAGCCATAAACTCCAAAAACCCTCTACACTACTGCAGGCCTCTGGGGATATCCAGTCCGGTGCTCATCCTTCCCTGATTTCGCTTGGCCTCAAGCCGGCGAAGCTGGCAATCACACGGCCCCTCATGGCCAGAACGGGGTTTCGGGTGTTGAGCGTTTAGGGTTGAGGGTTCAGTATTTCGGGTTTAGGGTTTAGGGTTGACAAGTTGAGGGTTTAGTTTTAGCCCAAACCCGACACCGCAGCCGCTCAGTGGCATCACTTCAACGCTGAGGCTCCAGCGGCGCCTTTGGCCTTTGCGTCTGCCTGCGTTTAGAGGCTGTCTTCTGTTAAACGCCTGTTCCGCCGGCCTGGAATGTAGACTGCGTTGAGGTCTCGTTGTTTGTTGAACGTTTACTGTAGGGTCTACACTCAACTACTGACTACTGTAGGGTGCAGGGTCCTTCACCAGAACTAAACTGCTTGCGACAGGTCAGACTTGCTTTTGTCCCTTGCAGCAAATCAAGCTGGCATTCTTCGTCATAACAAGTCAGACTTGTTTTCAACCCTTGCAAGAAGTCGGACTTTCAGGCTGCAGCCGAGTGAGGGTGAGAGTAGTCAGGGTTCCGGGCGAGGTACGAGGTGAAGGCGAGATCGAGAGTGAGTGTGGGGGTGAAGGTGAGGGGCGAGGGTGAGAGTGAGAGTGAGGATCGGGGGTAAGATGAAAGTGAAAGTGAGGGTGAGGGTGAAGATGCGGCCGAGGGTGAGGGGCGGTGAAGGTGGGAGTGACGGTGAGGGGTGAGGGTGAGGGTGAGGGTGAGGGTGAGGGTGAGGGTGAAGGTGAGGGGGGTGAGAGGGGCGTGAGTGAGGGTGAAGGTAAGAGTGACGGTGAGAGTCAAGTGTTTTTGAGAGGGTCAACCGGAGTTTGTGGCGCTTTCTAAACTCTCCGTGGCCAAAATGCATCCCGACAAATGGATTGTCCCGACAGGATCCTCCGTAGCCACCGGAGGATGCAGACCTTTCCATTCAACCTGGTGAGGCCCTGGTCCATTTTGCATTGCCCGAAGTCAAGCTGTGCATTGACAGCATCTTCGTAACCAGTCCTGCCACACCCCTCGGAAACTTGACCAGAGCTTGTCAGATCACGGCACACCGATACTCAAACAACCGTGGCTATAGTCGTAGTCGCAGCACCTGCTGACGACGACGATCAACCAACCTCAACTTCTGCCCTAGTCGTGGAGGGATTGGTGAAACCATCCAGCGATTGGATATTGCATAATAAACCCACAAGTTGCAGGGTTTCCAAGGCACGGGCCTGTCCACCTGTACATCATTGGTACGGTGGTTCTCTCGCTACAGCTTTTTCCGCATGCCTACCCATTGACGGTAGATTGATCTTGACTTCGGCTTGCCACACGGGCCCTCTGTGAACCCCAAGCTCTTGTAAAAGTGGAGTGCCCGGGTGTTGCTCTGATGGCAGGTCAGCTGCACGTCCGAGAAACTCCAGCCACGCTGCCGAGAGGCATCGATGGCAGCCTGTACCAGCATCTTGCCTTCACCTTGAGGTAGCAAATCCGAACTGATTTGTCGTAGAAGCGCACATGAACGTATCCACAGATGTCGCGTGTGCGTGCATCAACACCCGCCAGAACGAACTCCAAGGCATCCGACCGCTGCGCGTCCGTCAGCAGCGCCGTCATGCGCTCTTGGGCATCGATCTCTTCCTCTGGCACACCTATAAACGATGCCCACTCCCCCGGGCAGCATGCAAGAATTAGCTCCGGAAACAAATCTGCATGGTTCTCGCAAAGCTCGCGCTGAAGGCCCCGGATCTTGGGGGCTGCTTTCACCGGAGCCGCCTGAACCACAAAATTGCTGCTGGCAGCGTACACTGAGCCCTCTTGCGCGAAGATCTTGCCATTGTCGCCGTGCGGCTCCGATTCAAAAACCCAGTTTCGCAAGTAGTAATGCCCTTTGCAATTTTGGGCACCAACACCCTTAAATTTCTTGTATGGCGGATCAGGTTGATCGTCTGAGCAACGTCTCTTGCGATTGATCTGCGGTGCGACACCACCCTGTGCCTCAGCAGCCAAGAAAGCGGCGCGAAAAATGGGATCGGCGTACAGCATTGGCCGGCGGCCGCTGCTGTCCTCATAGTTGGGGTCTGCCCCGTAGTTCAGAAGCAAAAAGACCATCTCCAACTGCGACTCGTAGAAAGCAATACATAAAGGTGTTGTGCCAGTGCAGCTCCTCTGGTTGGGATCGCACCCATTGTCCAACAGCCATTTGGCCGTTTCGACATTTTCCCCACGCACAGCTTCGAAGAGTGCGCTCTCATTTTTGGAAGTTTTCTGCGTGCAGCTTAAGCCCCGCTGAGCCAAGATCTGGCAAACATCGACCGACTTGCCCTTGCTTGGTGGACGACCCGCCGCTGCAAACAGCAGGGTCTGGCCGTCCTCGGTCTTCTGTGTGATCTTCGCCTCCTTGGCGATCTTGACTGCTGTTGGTCGTGCCGCAGTTCGCAGCCTGTGGAAGTCATCCTTCATGGCTCGAGGCCGTTCAGTCGCCCCGCTCTGGAGCGGCTGAGCCGAAGCCGGCGATTCGCGGACTGGATTTAGAGCTTTTTGGGACTTCGTGAAACGAAAGTGTGCAAGCAAGCCTGCAAACAACGTCCCTGCAGTGGCCTTGGACTTTGACTTTGCCTTGGCCTTGGTCGATAGAGGCTTTCCATCCTGCCGGTGGGGCGGGGTGATTCCACTAGCTTCCCTTGGCTTCGATGCATCGACACCAAACACCGATACCGAGAGGAGATAGCAGGGCTGAAGGATGTTCCAGCCGTCGGTCCTTGTCTTTTTCTCCACTAAAATCCTTCATGTGGTTGCCTCAGCATGGCATTTCTTGCGCCAATGGTGCTTGAAGCGGGAAGCTGCGAAGCGGACTCAGCACGATCGCCAGCGCTGCCACCGTTCCGTGCTGCTGTGTCCTGAGACTGAAGATGGGCACAAGCTCCTTTCTCCCTTTCTTGCATTTCTTGGGCTTCAATGAATTCCCTCAGCGGTTGCACAGCCCCGGGCCAATCATGGGGCAATCGGTGGTCGAGCTCGCTGCTCAGGACCTCCATCATCTGGGCCCCTGCCTGGGTTGCGACGCAGCGGAGCCGCAAGGCTTGAGCCTGCCTCCTGTGTTCTGAGACCTCTGGGCATCCATGCGGTGGCATCAAGGCCTTGAAAACGCAGATGGTCCTCTGTGGAGATCGTGGGCGATTCCTCAGTGAGAGAGCACTGCTGACGCGGCATGTTCAAAACTCAGCGTGGCAGACAGGACTAGGTTGCTTGCCAATGCCTGGCGCATCGTCACCAACACCTGACCAGCTTTGGGATTCTCAACTGCACGTGGTTTCTGGCATTTCCCGAAGGATCTGCTCGTTTTGCCGCACCTCTGCCGTCAGGTAAACGTGGCGATGGCTGGCGGGGAGCGTGTTCAGCACTAAACCTGACGGCCGCAGGGTCTCTTGCCATGTCAGAGGACACTATCCGTCTCTTTTCTTGGGGCAGCCACATGGCAAGCTCTCCTCTGAGAGGGTGATGAGCCAGTCATGGTGGTGCTTGACCTGCCAAGAGAAACAGCCATCTTGGGCAGCTCCTTCCCCCAACCAAGACCCTCTCAGGATGCAGCCGTCCCACTGGTTTCCCAAAGAGTCGCCTCAGCGAGCATGGCAGCGAACAGTCCGCTCTGCAAGCGGTAACCTGGGCTGGTCCCAGGAGTCCTTTGAGCACGGCCAACGAGTCTCCGGGATGCGCCGGGATCTCTTTGCCCACCGGGATGATCTGCAGGGTGTAAGTTTAAGCTGCACTTCCAGTTGCTCCGACCTTCGACCCTCCCAAGCCTCCCGGGCGATGAAGCTGCGGCTGAGCGCAAACTTGACGGCTTGATGGCCCATGGCGTAGCAGGCCTCGCAAATGGACTTCGGGGCCTTGGGATAGTGGGGTCCAGACCTGCAGGGAGTAGAGAGTCAAGGACACCAGTCTGTGTTGAGCCGGCACTTCCTCTAGAATGCTTCAGCCTTACATACACCATACCGTGCATTCTCTGACAGCTGGAAGGCATAGCAGCTGTGGCTGCCAGCATTCGTCTGGGCTGGTTTCTGCTACCGGTACGACAGTTGGTGCATCCTGCTCACATCTCTGCTAATGCTCAGCAAAAGCTTATTGATCAAACGTTAAGTAGCAGATACCAAACCCTGTGGAAGAATGGTCAAGTCTCTCCGTTTGAAGCCACGACTGTCTTGCGGAGGAGAGGCTTTGGGCTTTATCTCTGAGCCACCCGCCCACTCCACGGTCTGGGGGAACGTCTCTGCAGGGATCTGGTTGAGCCTTGGCATCGACCCGTTGCTTTCACGACATCGGAAGTTGGGAGTTTGGCTGGGCCCCGGAACAGATGCCGCGTGACGGAGAGCAGCATATGGGATGCCAGATCAGGCTTATCACCTCAGGATCACCGGGCCGCCGATGTCACAAATGAACGCAAAGCTTGGCATTCACACGGGGAAGATAGCTCATGCTAGGAATCTGGCTGTTGTAATAGAGATGTTCATGCCCAGAGACACGCAGACCTGCAATCCCGTTCTTCTGAATGTGTGTTGGCCGAAGCACCTGCGTCAAGAGGCTCGCCTCGCTTGCCAATCTCTTCGTTGGCCAGTTTGCCAGTCACCTTATCTTGAATGTTTCGAGTCCGAGCTTGGAGCAGTGATGCGACCCTTCGCCCTCTGAGACTTCTCCTGCTTGCTGCTCGGGTCGTCGCGAAACGCTTCAGGCTTCAGTCCATTTCCATAAATCCTCTAAAGGCATGAAACCAACAGCACTGGCTTCTTCTGCTTCCTGTTCATGCACATCTGCAACCTTCGAGCAACAACCATACTTCTAGCTTCCGGAGACTAAGAACGCAGTAGTCTGTAATTGTACGTGTGCTTATAACTATAAGTTCAATATATCATAACATATCATGTTATCTCAAATTACATCATATGATCTCATATTATCTCATATTACATCATATCTTCTCAGACTAAATCTCATTATGTTATGTCACATTGTATGACTGTGACATCTCGAGGCTCCGGCATGCACTAGGCCGATGGTTCGCTGCATGGAGGCCTGACAAGACTGGCCAGATCTACAGATATTGAATCCTACCGGTTTAGGGTTTAGGGTTCAGGGGTTTAGGGGTTTAGGTTTTAGGGCTCAGGGTTATTGGTATAAGGATAGATAAAAGGCACCCCCGAATCGAGCCTGTCATCAATCTAAGACCACCTTCCAACTCAATCAAACTATGTCATAAGTATCATACACTTTCAAGCTTTACTATAAGCTCCATTATTAGCGATGGTACAGACTGTCGTATCCACTATACTGCACCTATAGACGAGAATATATACGACATCATAGACAAGCTGATTTTGGGAGCCTTGACTTGCGACAGCACCTCCTGGATCTCCGTCGGCCTGGGCTCGGAGCGCTTCAGAATGCGAAGATGACCATTTCATGTTATATGACGACTATATAAGTATTTTTGTTATTATTATGTTATCATGATCATTGCTTTTGTTATATTCGCCTGCTCAATGAACTTCAATAAAGGGCACCCCATACCCTAGAAAGTATTCAGAGGGTTTGGGTGTCCCGTAAATCTACCCTAAACCTTCCACCAGAATAATACCAAAAGCAATGAGGATAGAGCATGATGCGCAGCTGGAATTTCAGGCGCTAAGCTGTGACTACATCCGGGATCCATTTATGATGATTGATCTGCCAGCTGCTCGTGCCCTCGAAGCATGAACACAACATGCTCAACTACAACAACTTGAAGCAAAGGGCCCATTCGTTCGGACCGTGCTGTGGTCGAGTGAAACTATGACGCAGCGCTGTCAACAAGTGCATTTGTGCATTGGGAGCCACTTCACCTTTGAGTGATCAGACACGTACCACGGTTGTCTGCACCCACTTTGTCCGGTAACGTCCCTAGTACTGTTTCACTCACGCTCTCGTCCGTCTGCCGTTCCCAGACTGCCAAGCGCCTCCTTGCCAAGGCAGAAGGACAGGAGCTGTGAGGTGTTGGAGCCCAGCTGGTTTTGATTCTGAACTGTGAACAGATCGCGTACTTCGTTTTTCATTTCACAAAAAACGATGTCTTGTAAGGACATTCACCACAACAACTTCCGAGATTGCTGCAAGGAGACACCACTTTTCTACCGAAAGAGAGCTGTCGCCTTCCAGCAATCTCGGAAGTTGACCGCGAATCGAAGATTCAGGAAAGATCTCGCTGTTTCGTTTCCATGCGCCGCTCTGTCCAAAAGTGGCGTCTGCAGATTGAGGTCCAAGATCGCAACCACGGCGCTGTCGTGCTCTGCTGAAGCTTGCAGTAACATCGGGTGACCTCAACTTTTGTACCTCTTTTGCTTCAGAGAACTCGCCATCACGCACCGCTTCGGAGATGGATCCGGATCTGCTGCTTGACAGCTTCAAACAGCTGATCTTGATCCATCTCGGATTAGTCTTGAGCCCATACAAGAAACTTGTAGAGGTGGCTAGGTTATTGGCACTGCCTGCCCGAGCACCATGCAAAATACTGCAAAATATAACCTAAACCAAAATACTGCAAAATATAACCTAAACCATCTGACTTACAATGCTGGAGACGGACTGCTACTGCTGCTACCGCTTCTGCTACTGTCGGAGACATTCCGCTACAAACGTAAAGGATACCTGTCCAGCCAGTGCAGAAATTGCTTTTAGGCTCCCCTACTACCACTGGTACGGACAGAATCCTTGGTTGCTTCCAAGCTGCGGCGGTCCACTTCGTTGCGGGTTAGGTTTTAGCGGTTTAAGGATTTCCAAGTTTAGGGAACAAGGGGGCCGGGGTTTGGAGCAGGGTTTAGGGCTTGGGTGTTTAGAATCAAGTGCAGAGACTGTGCTCCCTGCAGATGCCGCCACCACCTTGGCACTTTGGCAGATCCAACTTGCGTCGCGTCTGACTACAAGATGCAGTGTGCACGCGAGGAAATCCCTCCCCCAAGCTTCCGGCGGGTGGATGTAGTGTCGAATCTCTGATGCTGCGGTGTAGAAGGCTGTCAGAAGCCTCGGCTGCGCAGCAGGGTCGCCAAAACGGAACAACAGAAGATGTCTGCCATGAGAAGGCTCAGGACTGAAGAGAGCTTCTATCAACCGCCGTCCATGAGGATTCGATCTCTTGCGCCAAGACCCAAGCGTGCTGATACGCTTGTCGGCCTCTGCCTTGGTCTTCCTGCAGGGCAGGCCCTTGAAGCTCTCATGATTTCGACTCGGACCTGTGGTATACCACAGCTTGAGGCGTCCTCATTGTGACGACCTTATGGTACTCGGAGTGCCGCCGCCAGTTTCGCTGAATCCTGGGCAGCCCACAAGTGACCGCACAGCTGAGGCCCAAACGCTGAGGTCCCCACAAAACAGCCGCGGAGCCCTCCAGCTTTGATCGGATCAGCTCCAGAAACCGCTGCCTGAGGGAACGAAGAGCTCCACCAGAGCGGAGCCGCTGCGATCGCTTTGGAAAAATCATCTACAAAAAACGCAGGCACAGGCGCACACACAGAGAGACACACAGAGACACACACGCAAGCACACAGAGAGACGACCCCGAATGGAGACAAGAACCATAGTTTGAGGTACCGGGTAGCAACGGCTGTCCCCGGGGTCTTGACGGTGCTGAAACGATTATTCTCCTTTAGTGGCAACATCCCTGCCAGATTTCGATCATCCTGCACCGCTTGTCGAGTCGGCTCATGCCCGGACCACGAATGTAGGGCTCATACCGCACAGTCTCCATCCTGTCGTAAAGGATGACCTTGACATCTAACCTGGAACAAAGGCGAACTAGCACAGCACCGTCAACACTGTGCTTAAGCTGTCACAGAGTGGGGATGTTGCTGTGACTGGAATCTTCGCCAATTCCGCTGCAGCATGATGACCTCGGCCGCAGGAATGCAACATGCTCTGCAGAAGACACATGACTCTGCTCACCTTACCTCTGCTTTCTGTCTTGGATTCATGCAGAATTCAATCTCCTCGCCGTCATCTTGCGCGCCTGCCGACAGGCCACAACTAAGCTACTTCTAACAGCACCCGATGCACAGAAAACTCTGAACAACATACTGCGGATCAACCGTCCAGAAGCGGTAAGAATGGCAGCAAGAGGAAGATCAGCGTTTTCATGGGTTGGACCCGGATTCAAGGACTAAAAAAGCAGCCAGCCAGACATGATCCTCGTCATCAGCATAAGCAGTCATTCAGTCCCGGCACAAGCAATTTAGTGATTGATGTCCGTGGTGGCATGTTTGCTTTAATTCTCAATCCACGTTTGTGCAACCGTAGCATAATGTACAAGACAACTAGAACGCTGTGTCATGTTGAAAGATGTGTAAGATTCACACGAACGACTTAACACGTTGAAAAGGCGTCGTCCGGAGCTGGTTTCATGCAATGTCACAGAGACAACCACACGCAGCAATGTTGAAGGGAAACAACAAGATTTTGTGTTGAGCAAAATCACCTTCAGCATCACCCAGTCTTATGTAGCAAGAAGTTGAATCTGTGCAAAGCGACTGGCAAGAGGCCTCGTACCCTCGCCAATGGGCTTGCACCTGACTCCGTGTCTTTCGTAATCGCTGCGGGGAAAGCAGGTGGCAGGATAGACAACATCACAAGGCAAAACCCAATGAAGCAAGACAGCTCGTGAATCAGTACGACAAAAGGTGCGACAGGACGTGAAGAAACAAGAAGCGCTGAACCGAGGCTTGATGGAAACAGAATAAGCCCTTTGGCGCAAAAACTGGCTTGACAAGGAAATGATCACCTGTGGGACACAAAGACGAGATGTGATGTCATGAAATGAAATAAAAACAAACCTGTGAAACGAGCAGGCATGAGATATAAGACGACGGGACGTTGCAAAGCAGAAATGGCTAAAGACAACAGGGTCAATAGTCACCAATCGGCTCCGGGAAGCACATCAACCCGCAAGAGCCGGAGATCAACGGCTACAGAGAGCTACGGTACCTGAAGGTGTGGTAGAAAAGTACCTAAAGACAGGGACTGCGAGATAAGTTAGCTGCCAGATGCCCTTCACTTCTCGTGGAGAGAAGCCCGTCGTCAAGCAGCCGATGACAGTTCCACGAGATTCTTTAAGGCGAATTCCATCCCGGAGGCTTCAAGACCCCAGTTCCGAAACCCGCATCTAAAACCCTGGAGTCATGTCGCGAAGCCAACTCCAACTCCCCGACCTGTGCCAAGACCGGTCGAAACCCTTGACCCTACGTCGCCCAAATTCAAGCCCCCCTCCAAACAAAAAAAGGGACCCTAAACCCTAAACCCTAAACCGTAAACCCTAAACCCTGGGAGAGGCACGTAGGCAGCGGCACGATTCTTGTCTCGCCCTGCATCTCGCAGAGCGACTCCCCGAGCCATAGCTGCGCAGAGGAGGGCACTTGCGGTGGGGCGGCAGCTAGCGGCCATGTCGCACAATGAATACTTTCTGCATGAAAGTCAGCATCTACCTATGTAAATATTTATCTACCTATCTATCTCTAGAGATAGCTATATGTGCGTGTGTATATATATATACATACACATACATACATACATACATACATACATACATACGTACGTACATACATACATACATACATACATACATACATACACACATACGTACAACACACGTAGTACATAGAGACATGAAAGTGTATGTATGTGGGCATAGGTAGATACATGTACGAAGATGCGTGTAGAAAAAGCACATACAGAGATGTGTATGTACATATGTGTGTGCATACAAATACAGGTAGGTGCCTATATGAACAACAATAACTCACCAGATACATAAACAGATAAATGAAGACAGCAGTCATTGTTGGGTTGCCAGCTTGGAGTGCGGCTTAAGTAGGGGTCCCGACTTCAGGTTTCCCCGGTCAAGACAGTGGCCTTTGGTCCTTGCAGCTTTGATCAAGGCTTCGGGATCCGGGCCTCGAGACCTGAGGCTCTGGAGGCTCTCTGTGTAGTACTCGAGATGCTAGAAGTTTCAGTTGGCCGAAGCGGCGAAGGACCACCAACCCTGCACCTGTCCGAACCTGCAAACGATGAAACTCCAAAGCCGCCCTCCAAGGGGCCCTTCCAAGCCCCCGCCTTGGAGCTTCGAGGCTGCCTGAGAGACAGGGAGAGGGCCCACAGACATATCCAGCGCTCCCCCACCCAGGCTCCGGGCCTCGTTCATCTCCCGCATCGGCCTACGGCCATAAAGCCTGCCGCGATAGTATCGCTGAATGGTCCTCAGGCGGTGCGAACGTCTCGCCGCCCCGTGCCCAGCCCGGCTCTCTGTGCAATGCCCTGTGGCTCAGCGGTCTGAGGATTTGACAGGCCGGCCTTCACTAGAACTTGATGTCGGCGCCTCGCTGTGTCCCACACATCGTCCAGCACAACACACTGTCCTCACTGCAGAAAACTCCTACTTGGGCTGTCACCGTGTGAGAGTGCCCTTCCACTTTGCCTGAAAGCGAGTGATGTCCCTCATCCTGAGATCGCCAGCGCACTCCTTTTGACCCCATCTAGCTCCGTCGCGAAGACTGGGCCGGCTGCATTCGGTAATGGTCACAGCGAACCATGTAACCTCTCCACACGGCTTGGAACCGGGTCACCTGAGTCAGAATGTTCAAAGCCCGTGATGCCAACTCGTCTTCAGATTGATTCCGAAGTAGATCCCCATTCTCTGGTCTGGAGCCTGCCTCGTTCAGCTCTACGAGTGTTAAGGACCCTTTGAAGTGTGTGTTCCGCAAGGGTACCCGTAAGGGTACCTATCAATAGGGTAAGAACAAAAGTTCTACTATACACGATGATACTATAGTGGTACGATTGAGGAACTTTCGTCACTGTAGTCTATAAGTTGTGCGGGTATCCATGCTATGCCTACACACAACTGAGCCTCACCGGGTCCTGCAATCTTATGACGCGGAAGCTCAGGGACAGACTCGGTGGAGCATCTTGGACTGCCGCTCGTTGGCCTGGTAGCGCATGTACCAGCCTCGGAGTCAGAATTGAATGGTTCACAGTGCTGTAGTGCATTATGCAATAATTAGTGTATACATACAGTGTATACTGCAATATTTCATGTGATTACATATATATATATATGTATGCTAATCCCCCCCACGACCCACCGCGAAGTGTCGCGACAGTGCCACCAATCCTTCTACGTTTATGCTTCTGGTTTTTGAACCAGGTTTAACGTTAGGTTTTGAAGTTCCGAAGGAACAGCATATGTGTATCGGCAACCGCCTTCATTCTCAAGTCTTGCGACCGTTCAGGCAGATACTCCGACAGATGATTTCTCCAACGATGAAAATCATTTCTGTCTGAATACCCGAAGCTCAATATGGGCCCAAAAATAACTCCCAAGGTAGCCTTCATTGTAGTCTCAGATCCAAGTTCCAGCAATACGTATGAATGACCATTAAACAACAGTATCCCTTCGACTGACCCTGTCATTAGACGTTACATTGGCCCCCATGTAACAGTAGTCTTTTATTTCATGATCAAACAAAAAAGATGCCCTAGAGATTCACGCCTAAATTCGTATGAATTAAAATGCTATGTCGACTAGTAACCCCATTGTACATCCCCATATTACCTCCCCTTTCGACCTGAAGGTTAATATATTAACCATACATCAGCCTAATTCGTCAGCTGTGATAATCCTGATATGCGGGGTCCTGGTCTGTGTTAAACCTGCGGTACTAGCTCTCTATGGACTCCAAAACTGATCATGTCCTGGTTCTTACCCAGTATATTGTATAGTATTAACGCTAAGCGGAATCGTATGCCCACAGTAGTGACACTCGAACCTTATTGGCAACACTAATTCGCAACACGCACAAACAACATATGAAATGCACACTCTTTGCCGGGAAAAACTTGGTCTTGGAGTGAAATACAAGCGTTTTTTTGGGAAACATGGTTTGGATCGGGAAACCAACTTTTCCTGGGATAAAGATGGTTTTGGACCGGAAAACCAACATTTTCCTAGGAAAAACCAAATAAAAATAACAACAGATCATCAACAACCACAAACTGTTGAGAAACGATACGGCCAAAGCCCAAAAAGATTGTATTTTAGTTATCCATAGGAAAAAGATGGCTTTGGACCGAAAAGCCAACTTTTTCCGACGAAAGAAATGGTTCTGGTATGGAAAACCCAACTTTTTCCCAGCAAACAAATGCTTTTGAGCCGAAACAGCAACTAGGAAAAAGTTGGTTTCGGTGTGAAAAACACCCACTTTTTCCTAGGAAACAAATGGTTTTGGACCGGAAAAAAACCCGCTTGTTCCTCGAGAAAACTAAAAAGCCATCTTTCTGGTCTTTGGCCGCATAGTGTCCCAAAAGATTTTTTTGGTTTTCCTTGGGAAAGACTTGGTTTTCCGGTCCAAAACCATCTCTTGTCCAAGGGGGAAGTTGGTTTTCACACCGAAGCCAACTGTTTGTTAGAGAAAACAAAAAAGCAATCCTTGGAGAGTTTGGCTGTATAGTTTCCCAAAATATGGTTATTTTTGTCTTTTGGAACTTCCCTAGGGCAAGCTGTTTCTGATTGGAAGAGCACAGCTTTGCCGCAAAATGCATCTGACGTCGAACCTTTTCACGCTGTCTGGCACGTTCTATTGAAATGTGGGTTTGGTTTTGGTAGTCTCTGAGAGATACAGAATCCGGACCTGCCGGAAAAGCTAGTTTGACACAATATTTACGACACAAAACGAGGGTCGGCAGGTCATGGGGGGATTGCCATATGTTTATTTATATATATATATATATGTATGTATGTATGTATGTATATATATATACATATATACATATATATATACATATATGCATATATATATATATAGAGTAAAGCCTGCAGAGCTCCCTCCGTTTATGACCTGAGTCTCCCCTGTGTAGACAGTTTATTGGCATCTATAGTAAGTACATGTAGGTAGTCGATATAAGATGGCACATATTCTGCAATGCTTGTGGCTCCGAGCATCATGCCTTTGAGGAGCTGCAGGTTTCGTGCGGTGTCCGTCTTGGCCTTGCGCACGTCCCACCTCGCAACAAAGCGGAAGCAACTGCAGCCGTCTGACATTCGCCGGCCACGGCCCGGGCATCCGCTTGCTCTTCTGGATGATCTTGGCAGCCTGTTGCAGGACAGGACTGTGTTGACACCCCGATGCTATGCCAGCAGTTCTGGGCGCGTGAGCGATGCCTTCAGCTCTTGCTTGATGCGCTTTCGCGTGATGACACCACGGATGTTCTTCTGCAGCAATGCGATGGCTTTCTGTTCGTGCGCCTTCGACCTGAAGTTCTCAAAGGCTGAGATCTAGTCATGCTCACACTGCTGCTTCCACACTATTCTGGACCGGCACACTACTTCAAGGCAAGCACATAATGTGCGAAGGGTCGTCTGCAATCACATCGTTGCGGAAGTTGTAGTAGTAGCCTCGCCGCACGCTCTCCAAGACATTCTAAACTCCGAATACGCAACGGCAGGGCCCTAAGTCCTGACCCTAAACCTTTACACCCGGGATCTTCAGCAGGCCTTCAGCAGTGGGAGCAAGTCGCGGCGGCTTCAGACCTCACCAGGCCATGTGATCTGTGGTACGGTGTTGGATCGCATTTTAGCGTTCTCCTTCGCAGTACAGCGTATGGCATTGTCAATGGAGAACTCAAGCAAGATGTGACACAATGTGGTACTACCAGTATCTGACAGCACAGAACACTCTCAAATCGATAGGTACGTGTTTGTATGTGTAGAGAAATATGCATCGGAAACAATCATGCATATAGGCCGCGGAAATCACGGGCACATGTTGCAAACGGACGTGTATGGCTGCGTACATATGAACTCATCAGCCTCCTCCCGGCTTCCGTCACTCAAACGCCATGTCTGAAATGGCTGAGATCAGCACGCTTCAGAAACCAGTGCTTCTCCGGAGCTTGCAACAAGGCTGCCTCGAAGGTGTCGGCCTGCAAAACAAGAGAAGAGCACAATGCCGCAGCCTAAACCCCAAAGCCACCAAAGCTCTGAGTGCATCGCATGGAAAAACAGCCAGGTGTCTCCACTTCTGGAGCCGTTCCGGTCGGACCTGCCCCAATACCACATGCATTGCATGAACCGTCTGGCTTATAGTGCTCCAGTGAGTGAGCACAAAGGGATTCGAGATGTTGCTTCTGCCAAGGGGCTGGTTGTCTCGCGCCAGGAAGCGGCGGCGCATGGAGAAGCCGACGTTCAGCAGCGGCAAGTGGTCGTGCATTCGGGCGGCCTGTGCAGCGGCCAAGATGTCCAACGGGCTGCAGATGCCTACGAGATCACGATAGATCACGGCACCTCGGATGCCGTCAGATACCTGCAGCCCGGGATGGGAGACGGCCAGTGCTTCTTTCCGCGTGCCGTCCTGCAGAGGATGCTCACTCGGGCAAGCTCGGGTTCCGTGCCCCACGAAGGCAGCCGGGGAGAGCTCAGGTCCCAACTTGTGCGTTGAAAGGAAGCAAGTGGCGCAGAAGTAGTCTGTACCTTTGACCATTCTTACTGCGTGACCAGGACATACCGGGACCGACATGGCTCGATAAGACTCAGGTCACACTGCTGGCACCAGACGATTGCATCTGGAATGCCGCACCTGCCGTGCTTGTGGAATGCCATCTGGTGATCACGAGACCAACCACTAGACGAAGCACTCGGCGACTGTTGACACGCTTACAGCGAACCTCAGGTCTGTATCCCAGAAGAACTGTTAAGCATGACAGGTGGAACTCGCTGCATTTCATCTGCACAAACCCACGATACCTGAGGCCAACAAGCTGTGGCTCAATGGGCTCGCTACATCAGCTTCGGCTGCAAATCCCAAGGTATGCAAGCTCCGGACTCCCAGAGGAACTCGTTCTGTCGAGTGTCCTGTTCTTCCAGGCATGGCCAACAGCAGATGCATCTCTACTTGCTTGGGGCTCGTCCTCGAGATGCTCCCGGAACCGCCTGCAAACAATGACCCGATGACTGCAGGCCTCCTCCTTACTCGGACCGAAGTCCCTGTCTGCATGACCGGTTATCCAGTCAGCAATGCTGCACGGCCTAATCATCGGGTGCACGATCTGCATACGATCCGTCGGCAGATGGACATAGAAGCGAGTGTCTTGCTTCACAATCACCTGCTCAGGCTAGTTCCACAGCATGCACACATCGAATGGATAGCCAAGCTTATTGTTGCCAGTATGGCACCGAGCAGGCAGCCTCCCATTCGGGAGCCAGAGAATAGCGAAGCGCAAACCTGCAGAGATCATGGGCAACTTGACACCTTCGAGTACCAGTTTGTTCGATGCTCGTTTGCTCCTGTGTACCACAGGAAGCAGCTCAGTAGCCGGCATGCAATACCAATACAGATCTGGATGTGGCCGCACACCCAACTGCGCTGCCATATCCTTCACCATCTTCGGCGTGATCTGACACCTGCCCAACGCAGCAAACGCACGGCCAGGTGCTGTTGATGCCACTGCTGAAGCTCTGCAAGGATCCCAACGTGATCACTGAGTTCGCAACTGCTTCATGTTGTCCGGGACGCCGCGGGTGCGTAGGAAGACGCGCATAGCACTCAGGCCTTTCAGCTTGAACTGCCTCAGGAACCCCGGCAGGCTGAGATAAGCCCGCAAGCGCCACGACTCAAACTTCTCAGATTCGCCGGCAAACTGATAGTGACACAACCATAGATGTAAATACTTCTATCTGTTGCTCTCGGAGGCTTCGATGTACCAGAACACGCAGCCTAAGCTCGCAGCTTGATCTGCGCGTCCAATACATCCGGGCCTGAGTTGCCTGGCACGGCCGCATTGGCATCCCAAAACTCAGTCAGACGAAAGCTGTGCTCATCCGCAAGCATCAACCTCTTCTGTGCGCCTTTCTGCTGTCGGTTGATGTCCTCTGGCAGGGCCAGGGTCTCCTGGTCTTCCCGTAGACCTCAAGGCGCTAGGCACGGGTCAACAAACCATCGGGAAGCCTGCTCCCACAAGGGCCTCAGGGCTGCAAGAAAATCGCCCTAAAGCGCATATAATGTCTCGAGGTGCAAGCCATAGTCGAGCATCTCGTCCTTGGACAGAACGGACTTGGACCCAGCCTTCCAAGCACTGACACTGGATGCAGAAGCCACAGAGAAGCGATGTGCTGAAGGAAGACTGCCACAGCTGGGATGAAGCCTTAGAAGCCCCTACCCTAATGATAAAGCATCCTACCCCCTAATGGTGAGTCTTGGCAATGGAGTATCATGGCATAGTGTTGAGAACTGTTGATGTAATTTCTGGATTGTGCCTTTGTGTTCTCTTGTTTTGCCAAGGTTTCGGGCTTGCGGATTTGGGTGCCAGGGATCCATATACTGTGCAGCTGGCACGAAAACAAGTCCTGTCAGGAACAACAAGGAAACCAAAACTCGTGAATCGCAAACGGGCCCCAGCTTCACTCGCGATCTGCGACTTGAGCGAGAGGCACCAGCTGCGTCTCTATGCTCAAGCAACTTGAAACGACAACTACCAACAAGATCCCCGCCATGTCTGTACAAGTCGCATCGATCACAAGACACCATTTCAGAGCAGCTGGGTATGCAGACGTACCGGGCACCGATAGATTCACTCGGGCGGGGCAGCTCCAAGCTTCGTCTCCAAACTTTTTGAGACGTTGAACAATGACCAAATGACCAGATTTGAACAATCTTTGCAAGTCGCATCTTTCTAGCATCCTCCAGCCATTTGAGCAGTTGGGCTATCGCCCCCTACTGACAGGATTGACCAGATGATGTCTGAGCTCTCAGCTGTCTAGAGCCCCTTGCCAAGGGCGGCGAGCACCAGAGTCCCCAGAGCCCTGCAGCAAGACCCCCCAGCAATGTAAAAGAATACGATCCCGATGGGATTGCTGCTGTTCCGCGCGGCGGGATGATCTTGATGCACGCAGGGCTTCGACACTCGGCCCACGCCAACTCGCTGGTGCAGTCACTACAGCCCTGTGCTCGCCAGCATGGCACCCGCTGACCCTGACGACAGGCACTTTCACAGACAAGGTTGGTGTCATATCCGCCAGCACCGTGGCATCGATCTTGGACGGGTGAGAGAACATCGGAAAAAAAGACAGAGGGCCGCTGAGATGTCTGCACTCGCTCCGAGAGGGTCTTTGCTCTTTGCAATTGTGCACACCGCTCTTTAGGGACTCGAAGGACTCATCCGGATTGCCACTGGCATCCCCGCCACCCACCATGGTTAGGCCCGTCGCCCTTGTGTGGAATCCTTGCGTGCCTAACGGTTAGGCCCGCAAGGAGTCCCACCAGGGCGACAAGGCCGCAGATGCGGGAACTTGTTCATCTTTGTTTCGAGGCTTCGGGGCAGCTGGCTGGGAGCTTGAGCCGCACTGGAGCTTCGGGCTGAGGCTAAGAGAAGGCTGTGTTAAGACACCTTGGCATCACGGAGGGGCGCTGGCCTCTTCTGCGGCTTTGTCAGGCCCTTCTTCCTGACAAGCAGCTGGCTGCCGGTGCCAGGTTCTGAGGCCGTTCTGAGGACAGCAGCCTGTAGGGCACTATGGAAACAGCGATGAGCTGGAGAATATCGAATTCAAAACCTTGCGCCCCTCTTCTGACGCGTTTGCCGGTGTCTGTCCTCCTCGTCCTCAACATCGGAGAGGGTGTCCTTGTGGATGTCGATATACCTCAAGCCACCACTTTGCTAGACTGCAGAGACTTCTCAGGAGCCATCAGCCAACACGCCACAATGAAGCTGTGGATTCTGCACAATAGCCTTCCTTTTGCCAAAAAGCTGGGATTCCAGGGAAGCTATGGGTCGCTGAGCTCCCATTCATGCCGAGGCCGAGGGACTCTCCGAGTTTTCTTCAGGTCTTAACACGGCTCATGGGCCCCTCTGCATCGACGAAACAGGCGAAACTGGAACCAATGTTCGAAACTTCAATCCTGCTCTGCGGCGAAGGTTCCCACGAAACAGCGCGGGGTGGGAGGCCGTCGCATGAAAGTGTCGCAAGTCTTCTGGAAGCTAGTCTATCCTTTTCCGCTTGCCTTCACCCCACCAACACGGATCTGAGAGAGAAGGGGAAAATCCAGTGAACTGGAGGGATTTCTCCTACTCGGCGCGTCAACCGAGCCAGACCCAGAACGTGGTGTCCAGATTCTCACTGAGAAACACCCAGAGAACAGATGGTATCGTATGGAACTCACACACTGGCTGACCTGCGCTCCTGTGCAGCGGTGCCTGACGCCCCTTGCTTGCTGGCCTTCAAAAGGAAAGGGGCATCGTTGCGCAGGTAAGCCGGCTAAGCATACATGTTGTGGAGGTCACGTTTTCAACGCAGCTCCAAAAAGATTAAGAGAGATCAAACGCCATGCCAAGGAAACAGCGGCATGCGCCCATCAGACCAGACCACCGTTGTCCCAAGACAACCAAAGCCCTGACGGGAAAGTGGCTGCAAGAGCAACCGCCTGCACCGAGGATATGCCACATCTCTACCCTCAGCTCACCATAAGAAGCCGCCTTGCCTTTGCAAGAGCCCTGTCTTGCCCTCTCAGTCTCAGCGAAGGGAAGGCAGCCGTGGCGACTCAAGCAGAATTTGAAGCGACTCCTCTTTCCGAAAGCGAAGAGACTCGGAGGAGGCTTCGGAGTCCCAGAGCAGTTCTTTTGGCACCTGGTTCCGGACATCTTCGAAGACGGAGATGTCGGAGACTCGAAAAGTTCGCTTCGGCTCCAGCTTGGGGATACACCCCAAGACCTCGCCAAGGCTGCTTGCCATCACCACCTTCGTGCGCCTGCGCAGGTCGCAAGAGCTTGAGAAGAAAACCCCTTGCGCCCCGAAGAGAGAGAGAGAGACAGAGAGATAGAGAGAGACAGAGAGATAGAGAGAGACAGAGAGAGAGAGACACAGAGAGAGAGAGAGAGAGAGAGAGAGAGAGAGAGTGGTCAGCGAGTCCCGGCCTGGGGCGAGGCTTCGCAGCCTTGCCAGGAGGCGGCAGAGGCCGGGTAAAGCCAGCGCAAGACTGCTTGGACTGCTTGGGCTCCTCGGGCTCTGAGCGCTCGGAGAGTCCCTTCGAAGCCTCCTCCATGCTCTTCAGGACCTGCAGGCTTTCTGAGACGTCGCTCCGATCTCCATCGGAGCTCTCATCCAGCATCCTCTGGGTGTGCTTCTTCAGCACCCCGTGGATATCGGCCAAAAGGCTGCCACAGTCAGTGTCGCTGCCCAGGGTCAAGTCGAAGGTCGCCGTCTCGCCCCTCACCGACACTGCCAACGAGACCTTCGAGACCCACAGAAGCAAAACTAGGAGCTTGAGAAAACATGCAATGAAAGGCGAATGCACTCGCATGCGCTACGGCTGCTTCGTCGCCCCTGCATCTTGCCACAGTCTTGGACCCAGTCAAGATACGTTTACCGAGGCTAAAAGCGTCCTTGAGCCGAAACTGAAGAACAAGCCGCATCGAGGTGCTGCATGGTAACACGGGCACGTATGGGCTCATTGACATGTCAATGCCCGAGGTCCAAGAGCCAGGCTGCTGTATGAACGCAGGGATCTTTCCGAGCGAAAGTGCCTCACATCGCTTGAGCGGATGAGGCGGCTCAAAACTGTGGGCAATGTATCCATTTTTGAGCACCGCAGCTTTATGTCCGACATGAATTTGCGAACATGCGGCTGCAAACCGTGGGACACCACGTTCAATTCCCACAACGGTCAGAGGCTCCCTTTAGCCACATGCCATCAAACTCCCAGATTCGCAGGAAGCTCGGGAGGCCTGAAATGTGCTTTCGGGGAAACAGCGCAGACGGAGGGTGTAGAGAAAATCCACATCCTGCAACCCGCGAATGGGAGCCACTTGTCAAAAAGCACTTAGAAACCGCCGGCCTTTGCGCATACGGATGGCCCGACAGGTCAAGTCAGAGCGGATATGTGAAGAGCAGCTGCAAAAATGCAGTCCTCCATCTCTGTCACGCTGTCCATGCTCTTTCTGGCACACCAGCCATGGAACGGATCGATCCTTGCAGTCACCGAACGGGTTTGGTCTTAAGTGCTTGGGCGACCCTGGACTCCCGGGTCGACTTGAGGCCAGCGCGGCTCACCCGGGTTGGGCGTTACGATCTTGGAGGAGTCTGGAAACCCCCAGGCGAACGGGTGGTACATCTGGACCTGGCAACTGTGCAGAGGCAGCATGGGCATCAAGACCGAGAGCCAGCACACATGTCGACATGATATGGTGCAGCCTTCTGTTGCGGATCACTTGCACTGTGGTATTCCACATGCATAAATGCATACGCAGGGTTATGATTTCCAACTTCTACGGGACGTCAAAACCAAGGCCCTGCATCTCTAACCGAAGCGCAAAGTCTTTTGCCAGAGCGGCATCCACGAAGTCGATCCTCTGGTAGTAGATGCTCTCCAGTTCTCGCTGAAGTTCAAACCACAGAATACCATTGGAGTCCTCGCACGCATTGACGCGTTGGCTTCTCTTCACAGAGGACTCGGAGGACTCAGGCAAGCATCTCCTTGACGTGCATGCGCAGAAACTGCTCTCGTTCCTGCCCGAAGCAGAAGTGTCAGAAGTGGGCTACATTGCTCAAGTACTAGCCTTTGTCGCCGTAGTACTGCTAATGCTGACATCGCTTCTGCTGCCGCTGCTGTCGCCGCTGCTGTCGCCGCTGCTGTCGCCGCTGCTGTCGCCGCCGCCGCCGCCGCCGCCGCCGCTGCTGCTGCTGCTGGTGCCGCCGCCGCCGCCGCCACCGCCGCAGCCGTAGCTGTAGCTGTGGCTGTAGCTGTAAGTGTAGCTGTAGCTGTAGCTGTAGCAGTAGTAGTAGTAGTAGTAGTAGTAGTAGTAGTAGGAATAGGAGAAGGAGAAGGAGTAGGAGTAGGAGTAGGAGTAGGAGTAGGAGTAGGAGTAGGAGTAGGAGGAGGAGGAGTAGTAGTCGTGTTGGTGTTGTTGTTGTTGTCGTCGTTGTTGTCGTTGTTGTTGTCAATTAGTGTTGT